TTTAGTGCCGGATGTACAAAGATATTAATAGGAGGATGTGCAAAACAGACAAACTAATTTATTCAAACATTAAATAATACTTTAGGTTAAGTTCTCATTTTAAATACATGTAAGCAAAAAGCTTTTGGGGTATCTGATAAATATTAAGCCTGACAAAGTACTTAACGTTTAATATATTGCATGGTTTGTTTTGGGACTTGACTATCAACTTTCCTGCAATGTTAACTATGTTGAAGCACTTATTTTAACTGATATTATACATATTTATTATACTCTTATAAGATGTATGTAGATAGAATAAGAAATGTGCAGAATATGAGGGTTTAATGGTGGAGGTACACACATATTGATAGATGTCTTGTTGAGGAACCTATGACCCAAGTTTGTCATCATTGCATAACTACACCGTATTTGTGTATATAATATGTCAATAAACCTTTGAAAATCTTGAAAGGGATGTGCAAAATAGCCTTTATATACCGTTTTTGATGAACGATTAGAGAATAACGAGTAATGAATATGCTTTATCGGGATCTGCAGACACATTTTTTGTCTTCTCAAGCACCAACTATCAAATATCTCGCCTGATTGTTTGCACTTGACAATCACCTTCACTGAATTTTACTCAGGTGTAACTAAAGTCTGATTTAAGGGTTGTTTATATTTCACATCATTAATCAGAATCTGTAAAGTAACTAAAATAAATGTATAAAATACCAGGTTAACCTTAAAGAAAGCCCTCAGGATTATAAAAGACCCCCATCACCCCAGCCACAAACTGTTCTGTCTGCTGCTGTCTGGCAGGCGGTACTGTACTGCAGCATCCGGACTAAAACCACCAGCCTGAAGGACAGTTTCATCCCACAGGCCAGAAGACTATTAAATACCTGAACTTAGAAACAACATCACATTAATCTGGCTGCTACTTAGAAATTATTTATCTAATATATCATATTCCAATCACTTGTATATAGACTCTTATTGCACTATTTACTATTTTTCTTTTTGTATTTACTTGCACTATTTTTTCTGTGTATCTGTTTTATTGTGTTGCACTGTTGGAGGAGCCTGTGACCTAAGGGGGGGGGGGGTTAGGACACGTTCGATTCGTGTTTTGGTTAGTGTGCCGTCGATGGGTTTCATTCCATTTCAAAGTGTTGTTTGACGCTCGGTGTAAACTTCCGTCATGTGACATCCAGTCCCCACTTCCCTCAGAGCAATGGAGAAGCGGAGAGGGCTGTGAGGACATTCAAAGGTCTCCTTAAGAAATCAAGTGATCCATATCTTGCCCTCATGGCCTACCGTGCTACTCCTCTGGCAAATGGATACAGTCCCACAGAGCTTCTCATGGGGAGGAAGGTAAGGACACTCGTTCCTGTCATTCCATCACAGCTCAACCCAGGATGTGCTGATATGATAAGGTTGAAATTGACAGAACAAAGTTACAGACAAAAACAGAGACAAAACTATGACCGCAGACACAGAGCACATGATATGCTGCACCTGCAACCCGGACGAAGCAGAAGGGCACAGTGGTGTCAACAGCAGGCACACCCAGGTCTTACATCGTTGAGACCGAAGAAACATATACCACCTCTCTTCAACCCCTGAGGGTCCTCGATTATCTGATAACACCACACATGTAAACACCACTACTGAGGCATGCACTCCTGCCACACCAGAAGTCCAGCATGACTCGAGTCATCAAAGCACAGTGTGTGAGAGACGTTTTCCGGCCAGAGTCAGGGCGCCTCCTGCACATCTAAAAGACTTTGTGCGTTCATAGCCAGGAAACTGAGTGGTCAATGGGGCAGAATAATCCCCACACTCAGCTGGAGGGTTTAGGTGGTCCACCTCATCCCTCCATAGTTAAAACTAAATAAATGAATAAAAAGAAGTACAGCAGTTGAATGTTTTAATAAGAATTCTGCAGTTAGACAGAACTATATGCTGATCAAGTGTTTCATATTTTGCACTATGTTAAGACCTAGAAAAAGCCTTTAGTGTCTTTAATAATATCCATCTTGGTAAACTTGAGATGTAATGCTGTTATACGTGTATTGTTCATTAGAATGAATACAAGTTAAGAAATGGTTTAATATCAGCTTCAGAGGCTTGTGTTGTCCATACACATCCTCTCCACAGGTAAGGTCTCCTATTTAGAAAGGGGGATGTAGTATCAGGCATAATAGGGTAGGAACCTTTATGATGTAACGTGTTGTGCATCGGTGTGTGATAAAGGAGAGCAAGTCAACCTACACGTTGGTCCAAGAGCCTCTATATAAGTTATAGTGAACACATATAACAATAGAACAGAATATATGAAGTAAACCACAACAAATCAGGACATTTAATGACAATGAATCATTAGTCTGCCTCAAAAACATTTATTTTACTTCACCTCAAAGGTTTCCTGTTTTATTCAGTTGAGATCTTAAATCTAAGCTTCTCAAGGATAAGCAACTTTTTATTCAATCCACATGTGCTTTTCGAAAGTTGTCCCGCAATCCATTTTAAGATAACTTTATGACTAAGTGTTGTGAATTTGTCTATATTGTTATGATTAATATTGCAGTCACTAGATAATTGTTTGAGGATTAACATATAATGAAATAAATATAAAATGCAACTTCATTTACCTTTTGCCGGAGTAAATATTCAAAGATAAATGCACACAATTACATTAACGTTTCAAGCACCAAACAAGGCAGTGTTTTTAGCAGCCAAGCTGCGTTTTATTAAGTAACAATTATATATATAGGTTTCTATAAGAAGTACACAAACAAAAAAATACATCAACACTTTACGACTATTGAAATGTAGTATAAAAATAGCACGGAATCTATTCTTTTGAAATGCTTTTGCACTCTAGATTCATAAAAACGCTTTTAACAAAATGAATAAAAGATAAAGAACAACAAAATGATAGAAAAACGTTCTATATCACTCACACTCAAGCCTACAATTAAACAATGTCTTGCATCTAAATAACAACAGATATTGATTAACATGCTCTATATCAGGTTATAACATTACA